GGTGATGTACTTTCAGTTCCTGTTATTTCTAGTATGGATATATAACTATATATTAGTGAAAAAACATCGTTAGTGAATATTGAATTCGCTTTCTGAGAATTTTAGTGTTGTATGTTTTTGATGTATTCTGCGAATACTTTTGAAAATTCTATATCAACATCGTCTGTTTGAATAACATGTTTCTTATGAAATTTACTTTCTGTGCTGAATTCTATGGTGTAGATTCGATATTGTTGTGTTAGGTTACATATTCCTATTAAATAGTGATCAACAATTTGTCTTTTGATTTTTGTTTCTGGAAATTCTGTTTTACACGGACTAATTCCTTGTTCGAATACATTTGCAATTAAATTAGTACAAAATTGTATTTGTCCTCTATCTTCATTGAGTGAATTTATGAGAAATGGGAAATCAGAGTGTTTGTCTGGACTTTCGTCACGTGGACTTTGGCTCATTTTTTCGTTTTATGACTGTCAATGCGTAATGTTCAATGTGTCTGATTGGTTGGTTACAATTGTATAAACGTACTGGTTTATTTTTGTACATCTTTTTTATTCTTGTTTTTCCTTGTTTTGATTAATGTGATGTGGCTTCTGAATCAGACAAATACAATTGATTGTGAACTGGGTAGTTTTTATTTACTGTTTCTTTTAGTTTGCAAAGTGCATCTAAATTGCTGACTTCTGATTCGGAGACTGCGTTTCTTCGCTTTGAAAATCTTTTCAGTATGATTTGTCTTTGTTTACTTATAATTTTCCTTTTTATTGTTTGCCGTTTCATTCGAATATATCCAATCGTTTGTTTGTGTGGTGTGATTACGAGATCGTATGTTTCGTTATTTATTTCGCAATTGTGTAATACGATTGTTTGTTTATTTCCCAAATTGTTCAGTGACATAAGGTTTAGGATGAAGGATGCAATGTTTTTTATTAGTGAATATATATTATCCTAGACTGTTAGTCCTTACGATTTTTTGGTTAGCCTAACTTGGGTCTTTTTGTTCAGGGTTAGAGAGAAAAGTATATTTCGACTCCGAAGAATGATCGTTACTTTCTCGCGGCTATTTTAAGTTAAGGTGTTAACTTACCTAATCTTACTTAGGGGTAATGATTGTGTTCAAGAGTTGGAGAATAGTAAATCGATCTACAAGGTTCAGGTATAATTAGAACGCAAGTAGTTCGTTAGGTACTATTTTAAGTTTTTTAAGATTTAAGATTTAGCCTGGGTCAGGTAAGAGGAGGGGCCAAGTGAAGGATGAATCACCGAAGTTCTTCACTGTTTAGCCTAATTAGAATGGTTAGAGTGATTTGAAAAATTTCTATTAGTCCTGGGTCTTTGAAACGGTTGCGTAGTGAATCGACGATTGAGGTCGTTAGACACTTTATTAATAGGGTGGGGGAGAACAAAATTGTTCTATTTGATCCAAGGATAAGCCTTGATGATCAGATATAAATTTTAATGGTATTAAATGAATTAAGTTAGGTATTTAATGAGATACAAGGAAAACATTGATGATCTGTATTTAGGGTGTAGAGAAATTTAAGTTAAATAAAGATAAAATTTAGGATAAGCCTTTAAAAATAATTTTATGTTTTATTGATAGAAAGTTTAGTTTTTGATGATGTTAGTAGTTTTATGATTGCTATTATGTTTAGGTGATGAAGCTGTAGATGACACGATGATTTGTATATACTAATAATTTATGATCATGTTAACCAATTTTAAATTTTCTTTTAATAAATATATTTTTCAGATATCTTTTTGAATCTTACTGCAGTTTTGGAGGAAACGAGTCGAGATGTTTTTATCAATCGTTTTTGTACAATAGTAAATTTTGTATAGCGCCTGAAATAATCGTTGAAGATTATTCTTCAAGGTTTTATGTTTGCAAATGAAAATCTAAATTCATTGCTTGTAAAATTCTAAATATAAAAGTTTGTTCTGGCTTTTGCCGTACGACCATGAAACCTAATGGTAAATTTCTTCCTAGTCGTTGCTCGTCTCTTGTCCGAGGTCTTCTTCCAATACCTGGTAGTTCTCATATTGTACGGAATAGCGGCTCTGATCTATTGAGTCGTATATACATTTCAACTAAAATATTATCATGTAACATTTCGGACATGTTTTTGTCTATTTCTAATCTATTTTGTTAGTTCTAAGCTAATTTGTTTTTTGAGGTCTTATTCGAGACTTATGGTCGCACCAGATGAGTTATGACCGAGGTTTAACTCATAGAGTAATTTCGGATAGGGTACACCGTCTGCTCGTCACGCTATCTTATTTTCGGCCGGATAGATTCGTGCAACTTCTTAGTCTAATACCGATCCTAATCTTTCTCTTATATCTACTAGTCTCAGGTTGTTTAACTAGTCTCTGCTAGGCTCAATAGATCTAGAGTATACTGGCTTATTGCGATTGCTAGAAGGTCTCTTGGAGAGGTAACTATTTTCTAAGTTAAATTCAAATCTCTCTGGTGCTGAAATTACAAGTAATTTCAGCACTTACAAATAAGTGGGTTGTTAGTTAGATGGATCATGATTGGTTAAAATTAAATATTTTATAGTGATAAAATATCCAATTTATAACCAATAATATAATGTAGTTTAGATCTGGTTCCATACTGGCAACATCGTAAGAACTTTGTTCCAACAAAATCTTATATACACCAAATTTAATTATACACCACCTCTAAGTTTCTTTAAAGAGGCAAGAAAAATGATTTTTTCAGTTTTCGTAATTTTGAATATTTTTAGCGGTGATAATCTATGCAACTGCAATGATTGTTTTTTTCTCAGAAGTAATTTCGCTTGATTCAAAAAAACTGGCGATACGACCCGACCGTGTTTGCATTTGAATAAAACTACTTTAAACAAGTTTTTAAAGGAATCAAAATTGGTAAAAATTTGAAAGCAAAGGAGTATTCAGTATTTTTGATTTTTTTTTGCAATTGGAGTTTTTCTCAACTGCAAAATTAAATGATTTTATGAGTGCAACAGCTTGAAGTTCTTAGCTATTCAAGCTATGGTAGAAAAATTGTTTTTTTTTTTTGGTTTATTTAATCCTCATTACAATTAACTTATTCAACTTTACATCTACCAAAAACCAACTTTCATTCGTTAAAAATCTTTAAAAAAAAAGGCCTTGATACCAACTTCCGCGACAGCAAAAACTCTTTCATGTTTTTTTGACATCAATCGAATCACGACCAGCAAGATTCGAAAATGATTTGAGCTTGTTTTAAATTGACCTCGATTTATGGATAATGATGTGAAAATGGAATAAAACTGAAACGAAGTTTTTCCTACTTCCTTTGGTCCAGATTATTACAGAAATTATTAGTTTTACGAGTAGCTTAGGTTCATTTCGGTGTCCTACAGTATTTTTATGAAGAGCGCAGTCTTTTCCGGCATTGATTACTCTCAGGTTTTTTCTGTGGCATTTTCTATCGAATAAACCCAATTATGGCATCAAACATATTTTTTTAAAGTTCAATGCAACGATTAGTTGTTATCGTCTCTTTCAATTCCTAACAATTTAACTTCATGACAGATTAACTTGATTTCGTTCATCTTCAAAAAAGAACAATGCACCATTATCCCTGCAAATTGGTAGAAACAATAAGTATGAACAGCAAGCAGGGGCGGATCTAGGATTTTCACCGGGGGGGGGGGGGGGGGTTGGTGGGGGATTTCGGATTTTCAAAAAAATGTCGAAAAGTTTTAAGACCTTTTTTTAGGTCGTTTAAATTGATTTTCTGAGCTCTCCCAAAGCACTAAAAAGAGTTTGGCCAAAATTTCTGCGAAAATGTTGAAAAAACAGGCCAAAAATGTTGAAAAAACAGGCCAAAAAAGGCGTTTTTAGGCACTTTTTGGAAAAATTTTACCAAAAAGTTGCGTTTTTTATGCGCGCGCTCCCTAATTCCGCCCTTGACGGCAAGACTGCTTGTTTATCAGGGCAAACCCCTGAATACTTCTACTGCAACTTAATCATATCGAATAGTTGTCGGCTTGAAAAGCTACAAGTTTCGCACAAAATCAAAGATGAGGTGTTAAAATTTGAGTTCTACCAAATTATTTCGACAGATTAGCAGGCCTCGATTCAATTCAGGAACCATTTTAATAGGCTGGATAATTCGCCCAGCATAAATAATTTGCGTTACGTTTTCAGCATTGTGAATAAAAGTTACAAAAGGCTCATAAATTAGTCCAGAGCATGACCAAATTGGCAAATTTCAAATTCCTATAACTTTTCAAAAAATGATCGGACGTCAAAGATCTTTTTATATTTGATTTTTCAGGGAGTCAATATCTTCAATGGGGTAAAAAAAGTTTTTTCAAAAACTATTATTTCGATCGCCGAAAACTGACTGAAAAAAACCACCCCAAGCATAACTATTCCGTTTTTTTTTCGAAAATTGAAACAATAAATAGAAGCTTTAACTGGAAAGGGGTCTCACAATTAAATTCTTTTAGATGTGCTCAAGAAAAAGTTTCAAATTTCGGTAATTAGTAAGAAATTTTTTCACCAGACAATTTTCCTTTATGATGGCACGCTAGGTGGGAATTGTACACTGGTAAATTCATCAAATATAACGTTGTCATGCCATCAATTCAAAAAAAATGTTTAGCAAAGTATTTGGTTTAAAAATTAATGAATGAAGATTAATAAAAAAAATTAGTGAATAAACAATTTTTGACCAAGAGAAATTTCTCTCAAATTTTGTACCGAATCTGCCCAACTACTTTTATGTTTTTTTTTGTATTCCTTTGAAATTTCTTAAAAACTGCTCAACTTTATTCTCAGCAGAAATAGATTTCTATTTTTGTTTGGGTTAAATTGGTGTTCAATTTAAAGGAATGACCTTAAATTACACTAATTGTCCATAAGTAAGATAGGGAGTGAAATTGTATAGTATTGCGTTGATGGGAATTGAAAAAAAACGTAGGAACGTTGTTTTGGAAAATTACAACGCAAATGTAACTTCAGTTATGATGTAATACTTGTGCACTGTTCAAAATTTCCTCCGTCCACCGAGTCTCCTAGTGTCTCTAGGATGATGTCATTGTTCTCATCCGTGTCAGCACAATATGACACGTACTCGAATAAGTACAGGCAGCCTGTCCACTCCACGTTTAATGTATGCTCGGTCAGTGACAAGTCGAATATTACGACTGGTACTTCGGCTGTCGCTCCGGCTTCTGATTGACAGGTGGCATGGACAGAGATTCCCTGTTACAACAGTAGCGAAGATTTAACTTTGGGAACAAAAACTAGAATTTGGTTTTTCATTTTAGAATTTGATTTACTGCTCGCCCAAAAAGAGCCAACTTCGAAACGTATATCGCCATCCAATTTTGGCCAAATGACCCCAATCGTTTTCTTAGGGTGCCGTCAGCCTTTGATAAAAACTAAAGTTTCAGGAAGTGTGATAATCCCTAAATCTTATCTGAAAACTAGACTAATAATATAGTTGAATTAATAGTAAAGTTTAGTAAGTAGATATGGATCAATGAATAGATGATAACTACAATCTTGCAATAGCTAACGAAGAGTGAGTCTTAGTTTTTTAGCACCATCAAGCTGTTAGAACAATCGACATGATTGACAGGTCTTTAATTAGTGTTATTCAAATGATCTCTAACATTAATAATAATATGGTATAACGTCCTCTATCTTAGGTGGTCCACTCACTACCACCACATTTCCCCCTCTAGAAAATTTCAACAACGTTTGAAATTCTCTCACAAGTTCACATTCACAATAAACAAATTCAGTCAATAAGTTTTAAAGTTTTAGTTCATTGAGTTTTCTTTCCTTGTGCTTGTTCCAACTTGCTAGTCGTGAATGTTGGTCTCCTTAGCTTCCTCCTCGGCGATGGTGACGGTGTATTTCCTGATGATGACGGAGTATCCCCTGGTGAAATTGGAATTGTTTGTAGCCCCTGTTTTTCCTCTATGTTTTTGACTGAATGTTTTAGTGGACTTCCAAAGAAATCTGTCTGCCGCTTGCTTCTGCCCGACGACCTTGAGTTGTTCGATACCTGTGAGTCATTATCTCCTGCACCGTTTCTTTTCTCCCTTTTCTTCTCTGGTTTCCTTTTATCTGCTGATTTATTTTCCTCCAATTTCTTTTCCGTTGTTTCTGATGTTGTCCCCATCTTTTCATCCGTTTTTTCTTCTTTGCTCTGTAAAGTATTTGACTTCTCCGTTACTGCCGTATTCTGAGTTTCCTCCGTATTGCCTTGCGTCTTCTCCTTCTCTGTTGTCGGTACTGAGGGAATTGGACAGTTTGTACTTTCTTTCGTCTGATTCGCACCTTGCGCCTCTTTTGTTGCGACTGGTACCATGGAAATTGGGCATTCTTCTGTCGACTGTGCGTCTAAGTTCTTTTCTACTGGTGGTACTACTTGCACCTCGTGTTCTCGAGAACTGCTTGATGACATAGTTAAATCAATTACCCCACCACTTGGTACTTCTTTTAGTACATTTGGCGATGCTATATATCTGGAAGCTAAAGTTGGCGGATTCTTTTTCGCTATCTTCGTCAATGAGGAAATAACTTCATCGTCTTAGCTTGCAGTCTGTCCAATTTCTCGAATGGCCTGTCCAATGTCGTGTTTTCCGTGTCTGAATTCTCTGATGACGTTGAAACCGGTGAAACATCTGGTCTCGGCAATATGTGATCTGGTCTGTTTGTTCCACTTCAGCTGCACTGGTGTGATGGTTTCCTCGGTGTGCTTGCGGCTGGTGTCTTTTTACCTAAATCTGAACAATATGCTGACTTGAATTTCGGTTTAAGTAATATGTGGTTTTTCTAATTACTTTCCCATTTTCAGTAATGTAAGTATTGTTAGTAACTTTGACAATTTTCCAATTAAACCGCTTAAATAAAGGTCGTCCCGATTTCCTGTCTAAAATTTTCCGATATACCACTGATTTCTCCGGATAGTGAAAAAGATCGAATTCTAGGTTACTTCTTTTTGTCCTTTGTTCTGGTATCTCTTGTTCTACTCTGAATCTTAGAGTTCCTTGGTTCAAGTCGCATCTGAGGCTTGCTGCTAGTAATGGGTTTCTTTCGGTCAGTTTTCTCAATGCCTCGGATCCCTCCTTGTGTGTGAGATGTCTTCTGTGTAATTTCCAGTCCGATGCTGCTTTTGCCAGATTTTCTAATGGCCTAATGCTTTCTGGCTCTTCTTCATTTTTCTTCAGATTTGGTGACACGTCTCTGCTTGCCATTCCTTTCTTCACCACCTTCGTTCTTGTTCTTGAGTCTGCTGATTCTCGCATTTCCTCCGGCTTCAGTAGGGATCTCTCCAGTCTCTGCTGATATAGATTTAAAGAACATTTTAGTTTATCCCTAAGATTAGACCATTCTGTATTCGGTTTCCGTCCAAAATGAAGTTCGAAAGGTAACTTCTTAAGAATACTGTGACGTGATATTCGAATATCTTCCAAAATTGACTTGACTGCTGTTTGTATGTCCTCAAAGTTTGGGTCCAATTGCATTGTGCCTAGTTTTTTTTTATGGTTTGGATACATCTTTCTACTAATCCACAACCCCGGTGGTCTCCTACTGGACAAAAGATTTGATTTATTCCCTTCGATTCACAAAATTCGGCTAGTTTCGCATTTTTAAATCCCGAATATTGATATGTCCTTAAATTCTTCGGTATGCTATGTTGGTGTATGTAATTTTTTAAGAATTTGAGTATTTTTTCGCTCCCTGACTTCCTGGTGATCATGGCAGATGGGTATTTTGAAAACCGGTCAATAGCGACTATTATAAATAGTTTCTTTCCCTTCGAATCGAACATTGGGCCAGTAAGATCTACTTGTAATTCCTCATTCACTTCTGATAATTCTGGTAAAAGTTCTGCCGAATTGAATGGTTTTGACGTTTTAAGGTTCTTACCATACGCTGAACATGATCTGCAGTATTGGCATAAGTCAATAATCTCCCTATGCATTTTCGGCCACCACAGATATTGTGCCGCGTCCACCATTGCCTCCTTTCCTGTGTGTGTTCTGTGCAATCGGGCCATTACTGCTCTCCTCAGACATGTTGGAATTGCCACTCTGTTGTCAATAATGATGCTGTCGTTGATTACTGAGGCGTCGTCCCAAAAGTTTGCCATGTAGCTGCCCAGTCTCAAGAACCCTTCTTTATCCTTCGCTAAGATGTGTTTTCTTAGTTGTCCTAACTGGTTGTCTTCTGTCGTGAGATCCCCCAATAGGTCCGCGTCGAGTATGTTATGAAGGCCTGTGGTGAAGGATTTCTTGTGTGTGTTCACTGGAGCTTCTTGTGTTTTCTTCTTTCAACTTTGCTTGCTATCATGTTGACCTTCACTGTCCTTTTCAGTCTGTTTGTTCTGAAGTTTGCGAGCATTCGAGCGTAGTTCGTCTTGTTTCTGTTTGTGATAGTGATCCTTTTCCTTTTCCTGCTCTTGGTTATCGTCTCCACTGTCTGTCTTGTTTCTGTTCTGTTTCTTTCTCCGATCGAGTTTTCCATCTGTTTTATAGATGGTAGATTAAATTTGCTCATTTTCCTCTGAAGTTTTGGGTTTGTTGTACTGATTTTGATTTTATTTGAGTTAATGAGCTTTAAGTTTAAAGTCGGAGACAATGATTTCTGTACATTTTTGGCTGAATATATCTCCGCTGCCTCTGATTGGTTGGATTTTGTTACGACAACCTCTCGTGGTGAACTGTTTAGATTTGACGATGTTGTGAATAAATTAAAATTTGACGAAACGGATTGGTTTAAAACTCCACCGCATGAATTTCCGCCCTCTCGTGGTGAGTTGTGCATTTGCAATTCTTGTTTTGATTCGTTGGCGATTTTGCCGCGTAGATTTCCGATCTGTACTTGAGGGATGTGAATTTGCATAAATTGATCTGATTGGTTAGTGTCAATTCTGCATGACGATGCGCCCTCTTGCGGATGTATGAACATTTGCATATCTATACCTGATTGGTTAATACTTGTTCCTTCTGTATCGGATGTTTTATTAGTTTTGGCGGTTCTGCATCGAAGATCTGATTGGATAAATTTTTTGTACGAATTATTGACGCCCCCTTGCGCTGCTTCGGAAACTGGGTGTTTTCCTTCGTTCCCTATTCCATCTAATATGAGTTTCCTTGAATTTATCCTGTTTTTCTCTAGATGGGCCTTGACTAACTAAATTTTTCCAATTTCTTTGGTCGGTGCTGGAGTGTTGATCACCCTGCATGCCTCATCAAAGTTTTCAATGGCTTTAACTACAAAGTGTTCATCGTATTTTGATGTATGTGGTGCCTCAAATTTAGGACTTCTTGATAAGTAATCTGCCATTCCTATTTTAGCTCCTGCGATGGGAGAAATTGTATATTCGAATGGTAACATTCTGTCTGCCCATCTGGTCAGTCTGGATTGATATGTTTTGTTACCCCGATTTTCTGTTAATGCTGTGACTATGGCCTTGTGGTCGGTTAAAATTTGGAATTGGTTCCCCAATAAGTAATTTCTAAAAAAAATTCACATGACCATACTACCGCGAGTAGTTCGAGTTTGTTAGTGCTGTACTTTTGTTCAGCTGCGTTCAAAAATTTTTTATAAGAATGCGAGTGGTACCCATTTGTCTGGTTCCAACTCTTGCTCTAACGCAGCCCCCAGTCCTCTGTGACTGGCGTCACACTTGATCCTGCATTGTTTGGTGGCATCATAAAGGTGCATTTTTGTTATATTAGCGATTAGTTCAAGGATCTTTTGGAATGCATTGTTTGCTTTTTCACTCCAAATGAATTTTTCTTTGTTATTTGCCTTCAGTGATGGTCGGAGTGGTTCGGTGTGTTTTTGTTGGTTGGGTATGAATTTGGACATGTGATTTAAAATGTCCATGAATGATCTCAGTTGTTTCAGAGATTTTGGCGGTTGTAGTGCCATTACTGCTTCTATCTTCGAGTGTTTTGGTCTCACTCCTGTCTCATCTATCTCGAATCCCAGCCAGGTTAATTTGGTTTTTGAAATTTCGCATTTGCTGAGTTTTAGTGCAAATCCTTCTTTGTCCAATCTTGACAGAACGTTGTCAACTATTTCATTGTGTTTTGTCACTGAACCTTTTGATACTATTAGGATATCATCTAAAAAACAGAAAACTCCTTGAATTCCTTGGACTGTGTTGTCCATTGCCTTCTGAAATTCCTTTGGCATGTCTGTTAGTCAATAAAATACGGTTTTGAATCTGTACGTTCCGGTGAATTCCCCGCATACGATACTGAAGTTACAGTGTTTTCTCACGGATTCGTCTAACGGGAGTTGGCTAAATGCGTATTTTAGATCTAGAGACGTAAACCAGACTGGGCCCTCTGTCTTGGCTGCGATTATTTGAGCTGCTGAATTGAGGAGTTCTAGTAAATTTGGCATCTGAAACTTGTTTTCGTAAATCTGTGATTTCATTGGTTTTGCGTCCAATGCTAATTTCACTGCGCCAACCTTTTTTGCTGTTATGACTACTGGGGCTACGAAATGATCACTTGTGCATTTAACAAGTTTTACTATGTGGCCTTCTCTTATGAGTTTCTTAATTTCTGCTCCCAATTTGGTTTGAATATAGATTGGTACTCGTCTGCTTTTTTCCTAAATCGAAATCAATGGTGATTTGAATGAAGTGAATACCTTGTGGCTCTTTGAGCGCCCCAATCTTTGGAATACATCATTGTATTTCTTAATAAAATTATTCTTCCAGAAAATTGATTCGGCTGATTCATTTTCTTGCTTTTCTGAAATTGTTTTTACTGAACTTTTTGGCGGTTTGAGTTGAGTTGTTACTATCCCCAGTTCTGGTTGGATGTCTAAACCTAATAGACATCTGGTTTTGTTCTCGGATTTTAAAAATTTTGCTCCGTGTAGTTTCCATCCTTTTGAGTAGATATCGATTTCTAGTATTCCGAAGAGTTTTATCGGTTTATGATTGTAGTCGACGTACGTTTTGGATAACGGATTCTTATCTAGTGATAAAATTTTGCGTTGGGATCTTTCTCTAACAGAGTGTCTGCTGTGCGTTTGGTTACAAATGATGCTGGACTTCCAGTGTCAATAGTGGCGCTAAATAACGAACCTCTTGTTTTTAGCGTTGTTCTTTCCCGGTTGCAGAGTCGATTACTTCTAGATCCTTGACTGTTTCTGTTTGTAATGATGTTTCCGAGAATTTTAGGACTGCGTAGTTCTCTTCACTGTCTGATTCTATGAAGTTGCAGTCCTCTTCTTCGACCGGTTCTGGTTGTTCGACATTGGCAACTTGATTACTGTTGCAGCATTTAGCAAAATTTCCCTTTTTCCACAATTTCTTTATGTTGCTCCTCTGACTTGGCTTTTGGTTTTGTGTTCAGGTGTGAATCTTCTCCCACAGAAATAACATGGTTTAGATTGAGTGTTCGACTGGTCTTGTTGGTTTTTGGGTTTAAAATTTCTTTTCCCTAGCGCTCTATTCATTCTGTTTTGGACATTTTTCTTTGATTGGATGGACATCAGTGGTTCTTGTTTAACCCGAAACTGGTTAGATGAGTTTGTGAAGTTCGCTGAATTGCTCGTTGTAGACGGGTTCTGCTTTTGGAGAGTGTTCGCTGTCACGTATCCCTTCTCCTGAAGCAATACCGATTTGAGGGTATCATTTACTGTGGCTCCTTGTCTAATGCAAAGTTCTCTTTGTATGTCAGAGAATATCATTTTTGCAATGAATATGTCGCGGATGACTTTCTTTTCTATGTCCTCTGTCCATCCACATTTTGAAGCTTGTCCTGCTAGGCGAAGATAAAATGATTCGAGGCTTTCCCTGTCCCCGTGTGATGCGTTGTAGATTTGCATCCTTTCGATGATATAATTCTTTTCACGTTTGAATCGTAGTTCGCAAGCGTCGTGAATAAATTTGAATTTTACTGTGTTTAGGTTGACGTGTGCATGTTGTTGGAGGAATCTTTTCTTCCTTCGCTTCCCAAGGCGAAGAATAACCTCGACTTTATCCTTGCATCTGCTTCGTGATAGTAAACATTTGGACTTATTTTGGGTCCCTTCTTTCTTCATTCTTTGTTCGCTTCGTTTGTTTTCCTCAGTGCCGCTTCGTTTCTTGCGGTTCTGCTATCCGCTTCTTCCATCGATTTGGAATCGGTTCAGGTCTTGGTGGGGGGTCGTCGTGTACCGCTGCCGGTTCTGTAAGTAGGATATTCGGGTCACAATTTTCTTTGAGTGATACGGCGAGGAAAAATTGGCCTATCCACACCTCTCAAGGATAAGGAGGTTCGGCTGACGGTTTACCCCAGAATGAAGGGACACCTAGCAGTTCCGTCCTATCTTCAGAAGAAGAAACTGCTGGCTGCGCGATGTGATAATCCCTAAATCTTATCTGAAAACTAGACTAATAATATAGTTGAATTAATAGTAAAGTTTAGTAAGTAGATATGGATCAATGAATAGATGATAACTATAATCTTGCAATAGCTAACGAAGAGTGAGTCTTAGTTTTTTAGCTCCATCAAGCTGTTAGAACAATTGACATGATTGACAGGTCTTTAATTAGTGTTATTCAAAAATGATCTCTAACATTAATAATAATATGGTATAACGTCCTCTATCTTAGGTGGTCCACTCACTACCACCACAGGAAGAGCGCGCGTCAAAAAGTTCTTTTACCGTTTCAAAACTTTTTTTCGAAACATCTGTTCGTCTAAATAAACGCTGACAATATTAAAATTTGAAAAGCCCTAAACCCAATTTCTCCAATTTCGCAGTACCGCCATTCCCTATGTTTGAAGCCGTAGGCCATAAACTTGTTGAAAAGACATGTTCCTTTTGATGTTTTCTTCTTTTTTTTCTTAATTTTGCATTAAAATCAAATCTTCGTCACTGACCTCGAACCCATTGCCATTGGGACTGACGGAATTCACTTCGACCAGGGTATTCTGGGCACTACCTGGCACGTAAGAGACAGAGGCAGTTCCAGGCTCTGCAATTACATTGAATCATAGGTTATTACAGGACTACTCGAACAGTAAAATACAAAAAAAGGATGGAAAAAGAAATAAAATGGGGTCAAAAAGGTGTCAAAAAGGCTGTAATAGTACTTAAATAAGAAACAGAAACTAAAAATTTGAGCAAAATAACCGAAGAAACTTGCGAATAAAAATCAGAATATAAATTAAGAAATCAATGGTAAGTTTCCTATTTGGGTTAATTGATTTCACTTGCTTGCAAAAAATAGCAAGTGGATTTACTTACTTTTGCAGAAAGATCCGAAAGCGAACATTTCATGATCAACGCCTCCAATATCAACAGTGACAGTGCCGAACGTATCAAATCTGCTCATAATATTCACATTCAACTCAATATTCTGCAGAGATGCGTCCTCGGCTGTTTCTGTCGCCTCACCCGAAGGTGATTCATAAAGGACTTCGAATTTGGTGATCTCTAGTGTCTCGTCCAGAGTTCTTTCAAGTACCACATTGTCAATACCTTTCGAGAAACTGGCTAGTCCGAAATCTAGATAAATAAGGGGTACAGCAATAGTTAAATGTTAATTTTTTCAAGGTCTTTTTTTCGGCTGGGAGAGGAGGGAGGTGGGCGGGGGCGGGGTGTTACAGCGAATTTTATATTGAAGTGAAGTTCCAGTAAAAGGTCTTACTGTATTACTAGTTTGAGTAATATATTAAATTGCCTCTGGAGAGAAAAGTCCAAATGGCCAAAAAATTTTGACCGTTTTTTCTATGCACTACGAAAACTTCCCAAATGTTTACTTCGCAACTCAAGTCACGTCTCAAATTTCTTGCGTATAAAAAATAGGACGCACTCATTTTCTATTGTTTAAAACAAAATTTTGTTGATATATGTGACAAAAATGTTGACAAAAAAATGCGTTTTTTCGGCGCTCGCCCCTCAAAATTAGTATATATTGGCGTCAAAGGTGCCTTTAAAAAGTTTTAGGGTCCGTCAGCCAAAATCGGATGTCCCATAATAGTACAAAGGGGAAGCCCTTTGGGTCAGCAGGGGGTCGAGTCTCTGAGAAAAGAAAGCGTCAACTCCCCCCCCCCACCACCCTTAAATTCGCCCTTGTTGGCAAAGTTTATTTTAAATTCAAACTCATGATGGTCAGTTGCAATCAATATTTCCGCAATTGACTGTATTTTAGAATAAAATGTCTCTAATTTTAAAACAAAACCGAGGGCGCTTTAAATGTACAAGTGCCAGCATTACATTAACCATTTGAAAAACTTTGAGCGTTTAAATCTTGACCTTATCAATCCAAAAGAATAATGTTTTCAGTTCTGCAAAAGTTTTGATACCACAAACAAGTGGAATATTGAAGGTTTTTAGCCCAAGCGATGCACATAAACTATCAAAAAAATTCATTTCCACTTTATAAAAAAACCAAATTTATAATTCGCTTTTTAAAAACACTTCTTTTTTCAGGATCTTGGATCCAATTTTGACTGACTGACCTTAACATTTTTCTGATGGCGCCAACATATACTAATTTTGGGGGGAAGCACGCGCCGCAAAAATGCAATTTTGTGTCTAAAAACGCCTTTTTGGCCCGTTTTTTTTCTTCAAAAATTTGCATGCAGTTCGGAAAATAGGGTCTTTAAAGTGATTTGGAATAAGTGAGATTTGGAATAGAAAATATAGGTCTCAAAGAAGGGTCTTTAAAGTGATTTGGGATAAGTTTGATAATCAATTGGGTCGACCCAGAAAAAAAGGTCAAAAACATTTTCGAAACTTTTGAAAATCCCCCTCGGAAAAACTTTGTATCCGTCCGCGACCATGGAGGTCAAATAGTGCGCTCTAAAAGTCGTCTACTCTTAGAAATGCAAACTTTGGAATTCGTTTTTGTTTGAATGAAAACACTCTTTTCGTCAGCCTTAAAATTTTGAACTTGAGAAAATTGTTTTCTTCGACATCAATGTAAATTTAAACAAAAGCAAAGCAAGATTGACTTACTAGTACAGAAAATGGGCCAGGGCGGGGTAGTTGCACTGTAGGTAGTTGATGAGATTTCATAACAATGACCGGTTTCGAGAGCATCAAACGTGAACTCATTTTCAGTTCCGGAGTCTGCATACTGAGTGCTATCTGTAGGCGGATCTCCTTTGTCGGTGGCTTTCAAGTCTGGGCTGGTTCCTGTAGTCAAGAAAGTGGTAATTGTGCTAGTCGTATCTGTTACTAGAACTGTGAATGATGTTCTAGTGGCGGTGTCTGCAACAAGGGTAACTGAAACAACATAAAAATGACTAATGAAGACACGGAGAGTCTAAAATTATCAACAAATGATGAGAGTTTAAAAACGTCTTTTTGCATTGGTTTTTTATTTTGAGGTTCTGTTTTAGCGCTCTATGAATCGCAAAAACACCGTGCATAGCTATTTACTTATTGTTCCGACCATTGAAAGTGGGGAGGAAATTTGTATTCGGGTGTATTTTAGTTTTTGAATTATGTGTTTAGATGCCCTAAACGTTTAACATAGACTATGTCGTTTTGTATGGTATTCAGCTTTTGTGCTGCTTTCGAAAAAGCAACTCGTGCCTACGGCCATACATACCACTCATCATAGTTCGCTCAAACAGTGGCAGATTTAAGAGGGGGACCCATAGCAGTTTTGATTTCATCGTTACACAAAGAGTGGTACTGTCTTACAAATATCCAATTTCTTCGCAAACCCAATTTAATTCGACCCTAAGATTGACCCTCTTGTGCCAATAAACACACCCGAAATGTGACAAAAATGGATAAAAATTGATTATTCATCTACAGAAAATATACAGATTTCAGATCTGTTGTATTTTTATATAGTAAAACGTCAACTAGATAGTTTTAGTAAACGGTTTTAATGCCTTTTGTTCTGCAAAAATTCTATGCTATATATCTTCGTTATATAGTTATTACTGAAACGCCCTACAACTGTTTTTTTGTGTATCAAAGTTCATGCATACTAAATACAGATTGAATACAGATTATCAATTGTTTATCTACAGATTTGATTTTGATTATGTACAGATTGTATGCAGACTATATACAGAATTTGAAAAAAAATATATTCAAATTAGTATTGTGGAAAGACTAATTACTCTATATCAACTTTTCTTATTTTTTTTCTCAAAATTTCGCTGCAAAGAATGGTTTTTTCACTGGAACTTGAAGAAATTTTGCACAAAATTACTTTACTTTGCTTGCAAACCTATGGGTTGCAAAATCTTAGAGGGATCTCTTGAAACTTGTAATTTGCGGTAAACAATAACACTGAGGAACGTTTTTTTATTACACGTTTTGGTTGAATTTGTGAAAAAAAATCAAAAATTTGACTGTTCAAATTGAAATTGTTACGAACCCTATAGTTTTTAAGCAATATAATCAATTTTATACAGATATTTTACAGATAATTTACAGATTATATACAGTTTTTATTGTATAAAGATTTCATATTGACTATATGCAGATTATCTATAGATAATACACAGATATTATAGAGTAGAGAAATCGACTATCGTTCAAAAATGGTTGTAGATAAATCGATTCTAAAATTACGTTCAACTAAAAAATTTTCTGTATATAACCAATTTTTATCCATTTTTGTCAATGCGGGCTAAATTCGATAGCAGTGCGCACGCACTGCTATCAAATTTAGCCCGCATTGACAAAAATGGATAAAAATATCGAAAATTTAATGATAGCCAAAAAAGTAATGATTTTTGTTACACATTGATCAATTTGATTGATGTCGAGTGAAGGCACATTTTTTTTCCTCGAAGTCTACAGGTTATTTTACTCATTTTGCCACAAAATAATGCAAGAGTTGATATTCACGACTAATGTTTGTAAATTGGTCGTATAAGTTGTTTTAATCCATTTTTTTCCAACACTGAGAAGAAATTTTTTGTTTTCGGCTGTGTCTTTTTCCGTTAAAAATCAGATTTAGAAAAAAGGTTTCATCATATACGATCGAATGAGAATCATGATCAAACATTAATGTTAAGATGTCAAAGTTTATCAGATGTCAGAAAAAGAATTTGAGTTTCTGTTTTTTAGATTGGTACGAGAGTGCCAAATTGGTACAAGAGTGGGCAAAACTGAAAAATTCACTCTATGCTCTTTGCAAAATTTAGATGATAGTTCTCTCGCTGTTTTTTTGATCGCCCAATTTGCTCTTTTGCGCTCCCTTAAAACCCTATTAAGACCCTATTCCCTAATTTTCCCACAAACTTCTGCGCAACGGGAGAATTTTTGAGAAAAAGACCAAAAGTGACTTTGCAGGGTATTTTTGGACATTTTATTGAACAACAAATTGCGTTTTTTGCGCACGTTCCCCTTCAAGTTTAGAGTATATTGGTTTGGGTTGAGTCCATTAAAAAAGGCTGGCGTAAGATACAGCAATGGGGGTTCTTATGAGGTAATTCGCAATAAGATATGAGACCGGCAGCAAAAAAAAAAATGAGTTGAAGTTTGCTTTACTGGAACAAATGTAATATGCTAAAATTCTAATGTTTCAAAACATGCTAATATAAACCGTAGCAATTTCAGGATGCGGACGGGGATGATTGCTGCCCTCTCAGGTATTCGACCCCCTGGCCACCTAAGAGTCTCGTTGCTACTTTTTTATGACATTCATTTTCGGCCAACGAGCATCAAAAATAAATTTTTCTAAAGCGCTGATTTAGCTAATATATACTGTTTTCGGCGAGAGCGCTCCTCTAAAAAGGCTTTTTTCTTAAAAAAGCCCAAAGCGTCTTTAGTCGCTTTCTTAAAAATTTTCCTGCTTGCCTCAAAATCTACCATTAATAAAGGTCGACAAAAACTTCTCATACCAGTTATACCAATCATTGAGTCGTGCAACTTAGAGGAGGGGCTTCGAGAAGTATCTCAATACTTTGTCTGACTTTGTTAATCGAGCTAATTAGATTTCCTAGAGTTTTTAGAAGCCATAAAAACCGTACTTCCCGAGCCCTGGCGCGCAAAAACTGCAACAAAAAGCCAAAAAACATTTAATAGCGTTTTGTGCAACGCCCTGCTTCAAAGTTAGTAAAGATTGTAGCTGAAGGTGTTTTTCAGACAAAATAGATATTTTGAAAAATTACTAAAAGTCGACGTTTGCGAACAAAGAGGGGCCCAAATTCCTGGAGGGGTTTCAACCCCGTCCGCGATACCCTGTAAGCCTTCACCGGTCGTGTGCAACTATAGGTGCTTCTACATGCGCTTTGCATGACCTTTATTTTCCAAAGTTTGCGTGACCTTCATTTTCCAAATTTCCTAAAAAATACCTTTCAAAAAATTGTAAAAAGTTTTAAGTGATACAAAACCGTTGTTACAAAAGTAGAACCTTTGTTAAATAACGAGTTCTTCAAAAATTTTGGCAAATTAGACTTAAAATAGTGTTTTGGGAGAGCTAGCAAAAATCCAATGTGGCCCACCTAAAAAAATCTAGATCTTAGATCCACACATGAATTCTTCGGGGTTCAAAATTTTCCTTTATGCGTTTCAATCAAAACAATCATCACTTACTTTCAAGCGTTTGCCCGTTTAAAGAGACAATAAGCTCACAAATTACCAAAAGAATAACAAAAATAATCATTTTTATGGATCTAAATAAAACAGTTATATTAATTGCAGTTTTGAGCCGTGTTTTTTCTATGTGAGTTTTGTTTTCTCGTGATACACTTATGAAACATCTGTGCTGAATTTTATGCAAACGAACCGGTAAAATAACAAGTTTGAGCTCTCTGTGTCCAAATCGAGCGTGCAGAGGATGGTATGAAACCAATGGTGCGACCAATATCACATCGCACTCAAAATTGTTGTTTTTTCGATCTGTACATAACTCATCCTCCCATTTATTTACCATATCAAACAGTTTTCACATGTGACCAAATGGTTGAGCAAAAACGCACTTTTGTAACCAAATGGGTATGAAAAAAATATTACTAAGGAAAAATGAACTTAATTTGTATTTCGGAGCAAAAAAATAGGTTTTTGCTTTCACTAGCAAATTGAAGTTTTTTTATCTCTGAAATTCTCTTGACTTGAAAAATTTGATCTTGGGTTTTTGTGCCATCTAATTCTTAAAAGTAAATTTGAAAAAAAAGAGCTATCGAAAACTGGAATACCGATATGCAAAATCTTCATGACTCAAGTTAATGCGCATAGTTTTTCACTCTTCCGCGGTAAAAATCAGACATGCCCGAAGGCAGGAAAAATTGCTCGGAAAAGAGTTTTTTCAGTTGTAATTCGAGCGAAATGAGATCCAGGTCAAATCTCCGCCCACTGTCTGCCCATGATAAAATCGAATAGTTCAGAAAAACTCAAGAAAAAACTAATTATTTTCTGGCTCAAAAAAATCTATGGAATGAGCGAAAACTAATCGATTTTGTCTGATTTTATCATGGAAAACTTTCCAGCCAAAATGTTTTTGTCTATCGTATGTTAGCTTTTCGTCGTCTTCGAATAAGATTAAAATTTCTGAGTTTTCTGTTCTTTCGATCATCTCACAGTTTCTGACAAAAAGTCCTTAAAATGAAAACTATTTAATAAAAAAAACACACAATATTTTTGCAGTTGAAGAAAAACTATCGCAAAAGTGTCAAAGAGAAAAGCGCATTGAATTGCCCGTTTTTTAAATTGCCCGCTTTTTTGAAAAAAATTTTGCAGGAAGGCTTGGAAATTTTTCATCACTTGTTTCTTAACAACTGTAAACTAGGTTGATGGATCTTTTCGTAAAAATTTGTGAAAATGACCGTATAGTTTTAGGCTACTTAAAGTGATGTTTTCAAGGCATATACTTTTTTCTCTTTATAATAAGAATGAGTTATGATTCCTAAAAACTCGGCTTTCTGAGGCATCCTTTGGCAGATTTAGCTAGAATTTTTTAGAATGCCCTCTCGTACTTACATAAAGCAAAAAATTTGTAAATCAAATCAGTGTATATATCTGATTTGACAGCAGTTAATTATTTTGAAAACAGTCAATAGAGAAAACTTGATTAACATCAATCAAAATGAGAAATAAAAAAGCTGCAATCTCAAAATTTCTATTTCTATTTTTCTCAATTGCAACAAAATGTTTGGGGAATGAGTGTGACGTTCTGATCATTCCTCGCCTTTGATCGTCTCAAACTTTCGTGAAATTATTCGGCAAAACTTGTAACATAAATTTTTCTTGAAGAATATCGGAGTGACTTGGATCAATGTCTACGTGCAATGACCAAAAGGGATAGAAATTGATTATTTAGAGCAAAGTAACAGATTACCGTCAGTATATATCCAAACATCTGCAACCATACAATTCGATTCGTTTTTTTAAACAAAAAAAAACGGATATAAGTGCCGAGGTGTTAAATTTTCTAGCGTATAAATCAAGTATTTAATCTGTAAATTTTCTAAATTACGTAAAATTACTCAGCAAAACTTGTAACGAAAAGTATTCTTGAAGAATAACCGAGTGACTTTGATCAATGTCTACGTGAAGTGTGTCTAAAAAGGATAGAAAATTGATTATATTGAGCAAAATATATAGATTAACGTAAGTATAGAATCCAACAATCTACAAACTTTTGCGAGTTGTATATAAAATAAAGATAGTGTTGCTATAACTTGTTGGAAATCTGCAGATAAACTGTATCAAAAAAAAAACTTATTTATTCTTGAGGAGTTTCGTACAGAATTTTTGAAAAATTGAATTCAGGGGTCAGAAAAAAATTACCTGTATCGTCTAAAATGGGTATTTGTTCCGACTTTCGATACGAAAGTAACGTAATATTTGTGCTCGGGGTGGGTTTTTTTTTCTTCAGACAAATTTAGACTTTTTAACTAGCCATTTTTGACGGAATGTTTTTATATCATTCGAAAGTTATTGTTGTCCTGAGCTTAAATTTGAAAAGATATTTCACCTGTGATAATTTTTTATAAAGTTATACGGGTTTAAAGATTGCCATTTTGGCCAATTTGGGACAATTAATGCGCGATATATTTCGCGCTATTAACGCGTAAGCGGAGAGTTAATCCATCCGTCTTAGAAATCGTTCCAAATTGGTTGAAAGAAGCTTATATGCCATAATTGATTTGTTAATGGTAGCGAAATCTATCACTTAGTACTTATTATGACGTGTGGGGGGATGATTTAAAAAAAAATTCAAATTTTAGAGAAAATTTTTTTTTTATTACATTTAATTTTTTAAATGTTATTATTGCTCCATAAAACTTAAAAAGCAGTCGGAACATTCAGGGCTTCGCCCTGATACGAGCAGTCTTGTTATACTTTAAAAATACATGCTATCTACAAGCAAATGAAAATTAATTTTAAATTGAGCAAAAGGAATCAGACTTCGAGCCCCAAATTATAAAATCTACTAATAAGCAAGGGTTTTTTAAACTTACTGACCCCTAGAGCCATCAACAAATAACAACTAAAGCAAAAGTGAAAAAGCTCTCCAACTGACGCGTAGCTGCGCACCAGCGAAGACCCCAACAGCGCCAGTGACCTAAACAGAATAAGAAGTTTGGATTTTTATCAAAATAAGTAAGACAACTCAGCACAAAGCAGCAAACTATGCGCAAGCAAATGCCAAGTGTGCCTACCCTCCTCATTTTTTGAAAAAAGTCTCAAAAGAGGGACCTAAAATTAAAAAGAAATCTGAGCAGAAAGCCACGTGAGCTGATTAGCGAAGCAAAAAAGCACCTAAGCCAGCTTTAAGGGAATAGAAACCACTTATCTACTTTAAGACCATTTATCCACGGGGGAAAGGACCAACACAAGAGCTGTACAGCTCATCACGGCGAACCGCTGTTGTGCCCTTGTTTTAAGAACTACATGCTATTTTTTTTTTGGTGCTTCATGAGGAATTTTGATGCTCCACACAGAAGGCACAAGGAAACAAAGACGATCTCTAACTGCGCTAGTGGCCTAAACGACAAAACAAAGGTTATTAATGTAAAAAGCGAATCAGATAACACAAAACAAATTGTGCGCAGACAAAAAAGTGTTTGCCTAAGCCTCAACTGCGCTACGAAAGAACTAATATGACTTGAAAAACCAACCTAAAATCCCCCCCAAAAAATCAAAATCCAAAACAAAAGAGAAACTCATAGAATACTTGAGCCAGAATAAAGGGGAGAGGAAACCATGCACACTTGAGGTTGAAGAGACACTCCATGAGGACGACGGCTGCACCAGACAGCCCACACAGTGAACCAGCCACGAGCTACTGCGCCAGTGGCCTAAACAGTCCAACAAAAACTAACCTAAATTAAAATGAATCACGCATTAGAATATGCACGAGCATATGCAAAATTTCCTTGACCCCTCACCTATAAAAACTCAAAAGAGAAGCAAAATATCAATCTTTTCTCAAAAAAATTAAAGCAAAATACCACTAAAAGTGATCAACTAACGCAAAAAAACGTAGCCAGCAATTGGGGAAGGAAAACCATACACACTTGAGGCTCCTGAGATGTAAAATTTGTCTACACTCCTCCCCCTCCTCTAAAGTAAGCCTCAAGAATGCAGCAAAAAGGCAATGTTTTTCTTTTCCTTAATCCACATAACCAATTTGTTTGGCTTCGCAAGCAGCGCCAATAAAAAAACCAAGGACAGCTTTAAGGGAGGAGAAACCATAACACCTGAGAATGCTGAGATTCTCCAGGAAGGCAACAGCTGCATCAAATATTCCACATAGTGAACAGCCACGCACGCACCCACCATCTCCAACTGCGCTAGTGGCCTAAGCGACATATCAATATTCAGCTTAAACAAAAAACTCAAAGTACTCAGCTTGCGGGAGCAAAAAAAAACAATTTGCCTATATCCCTGCCCCTCGTCTAAAGTCAAGACTCAAGAATGCAGCAAGGGGCAATTTTTTTGAAAACAAAATATACAATTTTTTGGGTTAAGCAAGCAAAGCCGAAAAACCCAAGACAGCTTTAGGGATGACAAACCATACACATTTGAAGCTGCAGAGATGCTCCAGGAGGGCAACTGCTGCACCAAAGAGCCCACACAAAGAATCAGCCGCGCATGCAAGACATCTTCTGCCATGATAATGCCTCCTAAGCAGCACATCAATATACAGTTTAAGTTTAAAAAAAGTGCTCAACTCATAGGAGCAAAATTACAGTTTGCCTAAATCCCTGCCTCTCGTCTAATATGAAGACTCAAGAGTGCAGCAAAAGCGGAACCTTAAGTTTTAAACCCAGATTACAAAAATTTTTTTAATTGAGCCAGCAAAAAGAAAAAAAATAAGTCAGCACTTTTTGAGGTTGCAGAGATGCTTCAGGGCGGCGATTGCTTCACCTGATTGCCCAGACAGAAAACCAGCTACGCACAAACGATAACTCCAATTGTTTGCGTCAGTGGCCTACACATCACATCGAAAACAATGCACAGTTTACCATCACTGTCATACCGGAGGGTATGATGTTCTAATAATTGAATCCGAATGGATCGATAAACCTTAATTCTAAGTCGGAGCGAAAGAAACGACTAGTTGACAGATAACATTTATTCAACTCTCTTTTCTTATTGTAGTTAGAGTTCAATATCTCTGTCTACCAAGGTCAAGTGACCAGCCATCTAGGCGTTAAACATAAGATTCTTAATAATATAAATAACATACACTTAAGGTTAGTTTGTCGATCCAGACCGGATGACATTCCCCCTTGACAACAAAAATTTGTAAACTATTGTTTTGT